CATTTCTACCTGCTACACTCTGTGGACACGCCATGATGAATTATACATTCGTCACGTACCTCAAGACTTTATTTGAAACACCTTAAGAAGTTTAATAAATCCAATAAAACTCTATCAGGTCGGATGTATGATACGGTATTCACCCACCAGGTCGCCTTTAATCTTGTCAAAGTTGGTTCGGCCCATGTGAAAGAGCAGCAGCCTTCTCAGTTCAGGGAAAGTGGATTGTACCTCCATGCAGAAACTTTTCATGGCAGCGCAGAACTTTTCCCCACCTTCCACAACGTTCGGTAGCTGCTGCATGTACGCCTTCATGTCCTCATTTGTCCAGGGGCAGAACACCAGTGCTGGACCTGCATGTCCTGCGACCTCTAGCATGTGGAGGGTCAGTTCACTGGTCTTCTGAGTTAACGCTGCTAGCTATGCTTCCAGAGCCTCTTTTCCCTCCTGCAGCTCAGCCAGTTTCTTTGTAGTCTTCAGTGCCACAGCATCAGCGCTGTGAGACCCTGTCTTTGGGCGAGAGGTGGGGGGGCAGGGGGCTTTTGCTGCACCTTGCTTTTCCTGTCTTTTCCTGAGTTCCCTCTATGTAGCAGCTGCTTCAGTCACCCGTCTCGGCTGTGGCTGTGGTGGCTCTTGCTTTGCTGGGTCGGTACTCATAGGAGGTGGTGTCTGGGGCCCGATATCAGCAGCTGTCGTCATCAGATTCCGTGTCCAGCACCTCTTCCTCCTCATCATAAGATTCAGAGCAGGATGCTGTCGGCGGTGGGGGCTGGCGACCAGGGGCCAGAGTGTCCGCATATTGTTCTCTCAGCCCATGCAGAGAGGGATAAATGGAAGGAAACACACGTTTAGTATTTTTATCAACAGCTTTTAAACCATTTTTTTCATCCTTATCAGTAGGCTTTTTTTCTTTTTATTTGTATTGGGAGGAGGGCTACTTTTATACATACACATTTCTGAGCTCAAAGCTTTTCTTTCCCTCCTGTAAGCCTCTTCCTCCCACGCTGATAAACATTTTTTATGATGCTCTATTTCATTCAAATCAGAAACCTTTATCGTTTTTCTTGATTTAAGTTTTGATTCATGTTGCAGTAACCGGCCCCGGAGGTGGGTCAGCTGCCTGGGGCTAAAACTGCACCCCCTCCGGAAATCCGAACTGGTCAGACCACACACGCAGACAAGACGTGGCCTCTTCGCCATACTTTTTAACCATAGCTTTAGCGCAGGGGCCCTCTGATGCTAACATGGGCTGAGCGATAGATGTAATCTGACCCATCACTATCAACTCGTGTCTTTCTGTGCAC